AAGTGAGAATCATATTATTACATGTTGACAAGAATAAGACTAAGATTTAAATGTTCACTATTACACCTCAATGTCCTGAGTTTAGTTCCATGAATTGTTCATGAGTGATTATTACAAAAGAATTCCGTAGTATGAAGAAACAGCTGTTCAAAGATCTCTGATTTACATTAGTATTCTAACTGAGGTTAGCCTGTAACGAATATATTATAGAAATTAAACCCATCTTTATAAAGCTCATTAAATTAAACAATAAAACCTGTTAAAAAAATTAAATACAATTCGTGTTGATTTATTAATCGTTTCTTAAAAATAATTTCAAAATTTGATGTTTGAAAGTAAAGAACAATAATCCTGTTTTTGACTACTGACAAATGATATTAGTAGGATGGAATACTTTGAGTGCATATTTACAATAAAAGAATATTCAAATTATAAAGTGTTTCTATAACTTATAAATGATGTAATCGGACAAAGTTTTGAATATTTAAGAAGAATGGTCATATTCTATCAATTCGAACATGACGAGTAAATGAATACACGATGTGATTTTCATTATGAATTTAAAGTATTAGGATTGTCCTAAGATTTTTCTAGTACCCAGGACGTGAAATAAATACAATTGATCTAAGTGGATAATTACTTTCTTACTGTTATCCCTCATAGAAGAGCATAGGCCGTCCAGCAGCATTTTCCTTCTAATTCTGTCCTAGGCAATCTATTAGATTTACTTCCACTTGCTATTCATCCTTTCCATATCTGTTTCCTATTTTCGAATCAGTGTATTCTTTCACCTTCCTCTTTTCAAATTACCTTCAAGATTCCAAATTAGCGCTTGCCACGTGATACACTTTGATGACTCTCTCAATGTATATCCCAACCAACACTTCCAGCGTGTTTTCCTAATTTCCTAATAAGCTGCAAGCTGGTTTGTTCTATCCCAAAGTAAGCTGTTGCTGATAGTATCCGGTCAACGGACATTGAGTATCTTGTCTGGACAATTGTTTACAAATATTCGCAGTGTTTTGATGATGGTTGTGGTAGTTCAACAAGTTTCAACTCCGTGCGGTAGAACTGTTTTGACGTTCATATTGAAGATTGTGACTTTGACATTAGCTGACAGTCGTTTTGCGTTGCATATATTCTTCAACTGTAGGAATGCTGTCCTTGATTTGCTAATCCTTACCTTTACGTTGGCATCAGATTCTCCACGTTCATCGATGATGCTCAACAGTTACGTGAAAATTTCCACCTCAGTCAGTCAGTGAGTCAGTTACAAGTTGCCATACTTCATTAGCACAACAAGATGAACACTGAATTCATACAAGTAGTTAATTCAGAGGTGGTAATATATAAAAGAAAGATTGTATATAAGGACATAGTACAGGCAGAAAGAATTAGTTTGTAGAAAGAAAGATATGAAACGATTTTAATCTCATAGGGTAAGGGAACACAAAGTGTGTATACACCTACACTATTGTGATCGACTCTGAGCCATGTCACCCAGTCTCCAACCATTGGTTACGATATTCACGCGGACCCCAATCAAGTAGTCTGCATCTACCGACATGGCTCAGACTAGAAGTTAGTGACTTCGAGGACTGATGCCACAGCTTCCCACCTGTTCCAGAGTTTCTCCGTCATTCGTAATTGGATTGTTGTTCTGCGTATTGTATTTAAGGATGTCGCTTTTTCCTTTTTGTATATTGAGATCTATTGCTCTAGAGGCTGCTGCTACACTGTTTGTGTTGACCTGCATTTGTTGATATGTATGAGGTACAAGGGCCAGGTCATCTACGTTGTAGAAATCGTTTAGTTGTATCCAACCTGTACACTGTATCCCGTTCTTCACGTCAGATGTGTAGGCTTTCATAATCCAGTTGAACACCAGAAGAAAAAGGAAGGGGGAGAGTAAGCAACCTTGTCTGACTCGTGTCCTTACTTAGAATGCATCTGTCAGGTGACTTTCATGCACGACTTTGTAGTGTGATCCTTCGTATGAATTCCGGATGATGTTGACAGTCTTCTAAGGTACACCATAATATCGAAAAAGGTTCCATAGTGATCCTTACGGAATCCAGACTGTTGATCTTGAAGTTGGGCGTCTACTGAGTCTTTGTTCCGGTTCAGCAACCCTCTGTTGAATACCTTTCTCTTACTGACTGTAATATGATGCCCCAGTAGTTCTCGCATTTACTCAGATCTCTTTTCTTTGATATCTTGATGAGGTGTCCTTCTTTACAGTCCATCAGCACTTGTTCCTCCTTCCATATCTTCCCGAATAGAACGTGGAAAATATTTACAGTTACTTATATCTCTGATCGGTGTATGATAATCGCGCAATATTGAAAAATGACTGGCGTTAAAATGTGTACTAATAGATTCTGACACAGTAGCCTAAAGATTAAGCTCTCTATCTTTCCAAGAACTGAAGACTCTGGGTTCCATTTGCTTTAGATACTTGGATGTACAACGGTGATAATTTGTGTACTAAGATAAAATAACCATTCCAGACTTCCTAGTTTCCAATATTGTAAGGCATATAAATTCACTTAAACTAGTGAGTACATTGCAACTAGATTGATAGATTTCGACCAACACTAAAAGATTAAACAAGCATCACACTGATCACAATTCAGGGATTGAAATTTTATGTAAAATTCAATTCACATGGATATTATTTTGTAAAATGTTAAGTTACTACTAGTATAATGTTTAAAGATAGATATTTCACTGATAAGAAGAAAATAGTCGGAGTAGGAGTAGGAGTAGCAGTAATGGTAGTGGCGTAAAAAGGGGATCGAAATCCGACTCAGAGCCTCTATTTGGCGCTGATGGGTAGTGAGAGCAACTTTGTTAGCTAATTCGGGCGGCCAGCAGAGATCGAACTAATCCACTAATCCTATACTGAACTTGGATTACTCAGAGTTCACTTTTCAGCGCTTTAAAAATCTTGACGACCTGCCCGATATGTATACTTAAGTGTATGAATTGCATAAATCTCGGTTTGTGTAGTTCTGTATGTATGTACTTTAAAAAGGTATACGCTGGACTCGCAAAACGAACGTAGAATGTCTAATAAAATCAGCGACCTAAACCATACTAATGAGAAGAGACTATCAACCCTCCCTCAGAAAGTGCTTATGATTGTATGTGTATGCTATGAAATGAATGGAAGAAAGTCTTTACACCAGTAGTATGCATGTAATGTGTAATGGACAGTCAGTTGTAGGAATTACATTCGAAGGAAGCGGTGAACATCTGCCCTTCCAGATTGATGAATATACCTACATGTATGCTACAGGATGCATGAGTGAAAATTTGTGCATAATCAGTGTGTATGTCACATTTATTTGCTCACTGGATAATTATACCTTTGTGTAACGGTGCGATCTTGTGTGTAACTAATATGTATGCAAACTATACATGCGACGATTGTGCACCGAAACCCGGGGATTCCAACGATCATCTCACAAAATCACGTCTACGTGGTGGGTTGGTGAACCTCGGAAAGTGTAATCTAATCCGAATAAGCCAACCGGCTATTCAAAGTAAGATTTCATCAACCTCAAATGTATGGAACACCGTACAACAGTTTCTTCAACTTGAATATTGAGCCATGAAATGTTTTTATTTATACCTAAATCTCTATTATATGCTTTAGTTAAACAAATGAATTTTCAAAATCATTCGATTAGTTACTAAACATCGGGTCATTTTTTTTTGACATTTTAAGACAATCATGGCTTTCTTATATATATATTATATTGATAATAATACATTCAATAGATAAATGTTCATTCTGTATAAAAGACCTACGAAGGAAACGGGAATTTGTTGAAATACTTTGTGCTGAGAATTCTATATTGTACCAAAAATATAATATTGAATAATGCTAATAATAATAATAATCGAAAGTGAAATGTATGATGGTAGAAAGTTAAGAAGATCAAATTGAGACAATCGATGGACATATTTTGCAAATGAAGTATTTACTGTATGGTTCTCAGATTTCAATAAGCAACTCAATAATGTATTAAAATAAATTTAGATTTCCCCACTGATGTTCTCGTTCACTACGATATTTGTGTTAGTTTGTTATTTTGACGTTGAATCAAATTTGTACAAAAAACAATTAAATGGGTTTGCAGAATCTGTTGTTCAATCGCTTTTATGTCTACAGCTTAAAATGACAAGAAGTTTTGTCAATCCTCAACGATATGCTTTTGTGTATGTGTGCATGTATCCTATTAGTAACAGTTTGTTGAAACTACTAGTTAGGAAGACCCTCAGAAGGTACGATTAAGCCCTCAAAGGCTTTTAAGCATCCGAAGCGATTTCATCCAATCAAAACGAATGTACGGGGCTTTAGTGGGTTGGTGGATACGTAGGATCCACCCAGGGAATTTGAAAACCCTTTTTCCAAACCAATGGTAAATATGCTCTCTAGAATCCTGAGGGAACGAATGGTGTATGAACTTATTGTTGCTCACCGGCTACCATGTTCTTAGCCATACGATAATCGCGAAATACGATTTGACAATTTAGATACGCTGATCTATACGACCAAACTAATGATGTATAGACCAGTACAGGCAGCCTAGATTTCTGACGGCTACTTTTTATGAATAGACATGCCTATTGAGTCCGGAACACTAATCTTAGCTTCCACTATGCGAATCATTCATCCCAAATATAAAAATAACATCTACAAGATGAAACCAAAAGTAGCTGTGATTGTTAGAAACTGTTACTATCTCAAGAATAGTTCTAAGATTTTACTAAATGAATTTTATGTTTAAACACATTTGGTTGCATCCACTAGTGTTCTCGTTCACTACATAATAATTGAAAAGCTCCAATGGATATCTAAAGTTTAGGTGTTGTGGAGACGATTAAGTTTTTGATTGAGATCATTAGTCAATTGAAGCTAGACCACAATGGAAAACCTAGAAGCACTGGATGGCCGTTTCGTCCTAAAGATTAATTTGCACTGTTAAATGATGTTGTCATACAGTTTACCTTACTTAAATTGCATAAGTAATTTAGATTCATAGTGAAAAGCTTAAAATAAGTTTAATTATGATACTCTGTCTAATTTAGGAGCCAAAAATATTTCTACAATATTGAAACATGTTGGTGTACCAATTGTTCCAAATGATCAATGTACAATGAATTATGCCACATTACGTAATGGACCAAATCCTATTGATGTTACTATAGAAAGTAATGTCATTTGTGCAGGACATGCAGAAGGTGGTAGAGATGCATGTCAGGTAATGAATAATGACTTTTTCTTGATTTTATAATAAATCATTCAATCAAATAATCTATAAAAGAAATCATTTTCAGTTGTTTCCGAATAACATTTCTTGATTGAAGATATTCCAAGTTAAGGCGAGCTTTGTAATGTAGTTTGATGATTTCTGAAAGGATAACGTTATCGTTAATAGGATTAATGAGTGTATGTACCCGAAATGTTGATATTATTTGGCAGTCGTGATTCCGATCACATCATTCAATGAGACTGTATAAGTCATCAGTGTCTATATGATCAATTTTCCATTAAAAACATTAGTTCCCTTCTAATTGTGTTGACAACGAAATACAGCATAATTTTGACGATCTAGTGATCTTGTTTGCTTATCACAAATACCTAAAGTAATTTTCAAGATCAGTTTGTTCTCTTGCAATTTTATTACTGTCGTATTCACAACCACACTAGCAAGTGTACACCTAACTGTCTCAAAATAAAGGCCAATAAAAAATAAGTTAATTATGCACGACTTTTCATATTCGATTAGAATTAGAACCATCGAATATTATTGATGTTAAGTGATTTAGGCAGGCGAATACACAACATTTGATGACAGACATAAAATATGAATTCAATTGTAATTTAATAGTTGAATTCATGAGTCGATAAAAGCTAGACTACCATAGACAACCTGGAGGCATTGGAAAGTCACTTCGTTTTAGTGTAGGTCTCAATGAATGAGTGGGTATAGATTTGAAAAGAGTGAAAATATAAAAAAGTAAGATATATAAAATCAGTTATTTAGTTGTTGACATATTGAAACTTCTTTCTCAGCAATGCACATCTAAGATACCGCTCGCGTAATCCTGAGGAGTCCCGTACTAGGACGAAGCAGCCATTCAGTGCTTCCAGGTTTTCCATAGTGGTCTCATTTTAATTGACTCATGAATTCAACTATTGAATTACTAAAATCTCCACGAAATAATAATCATTCATAATTTTTCCTTCTTTTATCTTAGTTTGATTCTGGAGGTCCATTAATGTGTCAAATTAATAAACAATGGACTGTCAGTGGAATAATTTCTTTTGGTTACGGATGCGGTAAAGCAGGTTATCCTGGAGTATATACACGTGTATCAGATTATGTTCCATGGATTAAAGGCATAGCTGAAGTGTTCACCTTTTGAAAATTACAATCTTTACTGAGTTATAAATAGAAAAACTAGTTAACAAAAGTTATTATTTCCTTTGAGTTGAACAAATTCACAACAAAAATAGATTCAGAGAAAATAAACATATTTTACTTCAAACAATTTACTTGTTAAATTGTGATCTAGCCTTAATCAAACTCATAAATTCAACTATTTAAAAGAAACTACAATCTTTCAATACAAACGTCAAGACAGTTCTACTATAAAGGAATGGATAATTTTAATTGAATCACTTTGCTTACTTATAAGTAGTTAAAAATCAAAGTCAAAATTGTGAGGAGGTGCTATTGTAGTAGATTATCTACATGGGGGTTGTGGAGATGACTGAATTTTTTAATGAGATCGTGAACTGATTGATGTCAGACCACTGTTGGAAACCTGGAGGCACTTGATGGCCGTTTTATCCTATTGTGGGACTCATCAGTGAGCATCCACGTTCCCGCTCGCGGGGTCGGAACCTAGGACCTTCAGTTAGCGCGCAATATTTTATTCAATAAGTAGGAGAGAAACAAGGGCCAAAAGGATTGTATTCATTACGCCGGGAAATGGAGATAGACATGAAAAAAATAAACAAGAACTGGCTGGAACTAGAAAAGAAGGTACCATAAGTTTTATATGGTAAACAAAAAGGCTGGACGGCTGCCTATGTTCCATTTGGGAGTAAATGGCGTAAGAATTATGATTAGAAACAAGGTGTAATTATCGATGACTTAATCGTTCAAATTAGTATCATCTTTCTTTCAAAAACAAAAACAGTAAGAAACATGTAAATCGAATGGATACTATCTGATTTCCATCAAAAACTCCAATTACAAAGAAATATCTAGCTTTAAAATTACTATAGAACATTTAATTCAGTTATGTGGTACTAATGGAATCGTTAACGTAACTACATGGATACAATCAATTATAATTGCAAACCATAGGGGTGCGTAATCTTTCATAAAGGATAAGTGATTAATTTTTTATGATTTAGCTAAGTGTTGATTCCTTTCTATTTTCTCTTCCTAAGTTAGATCCTTCAGTTACAATCTTATTTTGACGGCAACATCTTTCATCCTGAGGTTACCCTTAAGTAGAATATACCTGATACCCGACCCGGGATCGACCCCTTCACCTTAAGATCTCATAACGATTGCTTAATCTTCAGACTCATGAACCAAAATCTAATAGTTAATATGCCTAACTTCAGTCAATCGATAATATTTCTCGACCACTCTATAATCCCTTCGACGATGGTATAACAACATTCTACTGCTTCATAAGTTCTATCATTTCATAATGAACATTCAATTTCATTATGACATCTGACTTAACAAGTGTTATAACTTGTGACCTGTGTGCCCTGTTTCTTGTATAACGTAACGACACCGCCAATTAGAGAACACTGAATTATCGATCGGAGTCATTGGTGGAAATTTTTCTACTCCACACTTTGATTAAACCAGCTATATGATTATCATGACCTTAATGGTTAATTCATTGTGTTGTTGAACCTATCAGCACAAATCATTTGAACATTTTCATATTGTAATTTTATGTTAATTAAAACTGGATTATTTCAAACATACTGGGGAGACTCTAATTTATGGACGAGCTAATCAGAGGCGTTTTAGAGATTTCAAGGTTACGGCACCTTGGCCAAGTGTGGCTGTGAATGTGTGAGGCAGTGACTAATAGACAGGATATAATTCAAGAATGGTAAATCGCATAATAATAGTTCATAGGTCAAAATAAAACTCATAATAAGAGGGACATGAATATGAATAGTTGAGTTATTTAACAATTATACGATAAAAATAGTATTGGTATAGTAGTATTGGTCCATAAAAGGACTCCAAAGTTACCACTCATTATGTTTATCGGGACCTAACAGTATATGTCGAAAGTAAAAGGGTCAATTGACGCCCAAACAACTAATTAGTAGTATCTGTGAAGCTGGATCGAATGGGTTCAAATACTGTGAGGAGGATTAACTTTTTATGATTCCAGGTGTACTCAATGGTGACAAGTACCAAGTACCACAAAACCTGTTTCCAGGATATCCAGCTGATTAACTTCCACCAGCTAATAGCACAACATAACATGTTTGAATTGAAATCGGTCAGACGAGTGGTAACATTTTAATTTGTTAGACAGAATTCACTGAGCAATATCGGATTAAAAAAACATGACATTAGTCACTACTAACTGACCAGACAATTATATTAAAAGAGTACTAAACACAACTCTTTATTCACCATCGTTATCTATTGACCATCCTTTTAGTATAACAACAAAGAACTTATACGCAAGTTAAGCCAATTGAAATGACTAATTCAAACATAGAGACCAGTTGATCGTTCTATCTTTTTACATAAGTTATCACAGTCAACAAATAATTATTATTTATTTATTTGATTGTTCTATATTGGCTATCACTAACAATCGCAAATGATATTCAGTCGAGGATTTTCATGTCTCATAGATTACATAACACAATAGGGATATGCAACTCTACATATCCTAACATCTTTGACTAGTTAGTTTATTATATAAATATAAAGCTATGTACAGTACCTTTTGTATGTTCTTTATTTGAAAAGTAAAAAAATACCTGGATTTAATCAATAATTGTTTTATTGAGTCTTCAGAGTTGATCAAATTCTCCTGCACGAACGTCAGCCAAACATATGTAGTGTGGCGTCGAGTCCAGGTTGATCAAATGGACTGGTATACGTACTGGATAACTAAAATGATGATTACAAGTTTACTCAGAACTATAAATACCTGAGAGTTTTGTACTATATTTGAAATTGTTGAGAATAACATTCCTCCTCACTCGTCTTCTGTCTTCTGATTTTACGACAATCGTGCCAAAGGAGTACAAGTGGAATCACTGAGCAAACGTAAGTGCGTGCAAGGTCACAATCAACGGAAGAATTTATGTTTTTAGTACAGTTAAACAAACAAATACAGTAAAACACTTGTCGACCACTTCGAAAGCATCAAAATAATACTGTATATTCGTTTAAAGTTTGTTCAAATTACAACATAGAAACTTGTTGATAACTGATGAATTATATTAATCGACAATATTCTCATGTTTAATTATAACCTTAGCGTATTTGAGATAATAAGCAGCAACACATATCTCTCCATGTGACTAATACTCTTTAATGGCGAATACTAATAAATACAAAGTGAAGATTTATCATGCCATTTGAAAAAATATGCCGGTATCAAATTCTGCACAAAAGTTTGTGAAAATTGTTAAATTTTGTAGCCCGACATTGTAAATTGATTTTAATTTTGATAATAGTTGAAAAATAGAGCAGAGCATTAGAAATCTAATTCGTTATGTTATGGAACTCTACGACACAATCAGCTATAGGAACCATCACCTTCAGGTTTCGTAGTAAATGCTTAATCTTCATAACACAATGAATCCCATAATGGTCTACAATGGTATTCTCAATAAGATTAGGTTAAATCCCAAATATAATAAAATAACGAGTGTTTTGTTATAACTAAAAACTATCGTAAACATAAGTCACCATTACATCACAAATTAAATAATATTTATTAGTTGAATTCATGAGTCAATCCAAGCTAGACTACCACTGACAACCTGGAAGTATTGAACAGTCGTTTCGTCTTAGTGTGGGACTCCTCAGCTGTGCGCATCCACGACATCCACAAAACCCTCCTCTGATAATATTTATTGTTTAATTAACTGATAATGAAAACCCAGTAGAGCATAGGCGTCCAACTAGCATTCTCCAACCAACACTCTACTGGACCTTCCATTCTGGTTTGATTGAATTGTTGTTCATTCTTCTCACGTCTGCACCCGTTTCACGGCGTAATGTATTCTTTGGTCTTCCTCTCCTCCGTTGGCCTTGAAGGTTACAAGTAAAATATTCTCCTTGTGAACAGTTGGGTGCTTTAATATAAACAAATTACAGCGCTTCTTTCTTACTATGAAATATTGATTGAATAAACTATAATCCAATATCATCTAGGTGTCTAATAGAACAAGATTAAATAACTAATTCCATGTGTTTCCAGTCAAATTCTCTTCAACTAATAATCGGTTATACGTAAACTGTATAAATCCGATAAGGTCCGAGTAACTCTGGAAGATATATGTTTAAATCTTGTAACCCGAATCTTTCCGATTACTGCTTATACTTTTAATATTTCTACCACTATGAAATTTGAATCGGCAACTGCATCTCTGTTGGTTAACAATTGTTTTGAGTTCCAGATGTTCTTCAGTTGTATATATGCTGCTCTTGCTTTGTCGATACGCGCCTTCATATCTACATCAGACTGACTGAAATCCTGTAAAAAGGTCATCTCCTTCAACATTGTAGATATATAAAATTGATTTATCATTTTCCACATCAACATTGAATTGTTGCATTGGGATACTGTTGACATGTTATTTTGAAAATAACCTTTCAGGCAAATATTTATTTAGGAGTTGTCAGTCATTAAAACAATCCACTGGTCGTCTTCTCCTGTATTTGTTTTTGCGTGTGCGATAACAACGCTAACCAGTTTGTGTATTACATATGTGCTAAACATTTATATTCTGTGCTCATAAATAATCGATTATACAAGAAAAATATCTCTGAAATTATCTCATTGATTTCTAACCTACACATTTTTATTGACATTATATCTATAACACATTAGCTGATCATCCATATCTCACAAATTGTCTTGACATTTTCACTCTCGATAATATCGATTGATCATTGACTCCAAATGAAGAATTATAGCAAAATCTTTAAATACTGAACATAATGTTCATTATAGTTTGAAACATATCAACAATACATAATCATTACAGATCCACATCATATCATATTTCCTGACCTACTTTCTTTTAAATAGAATATTTGTCTAATGAATGAATGTATTGTTCTTTATTTTCTCTTTATCTTCTATAATACGTATACAATTAGACGACTAGTCGTGAAACATACTTAAATAATCTAATATGATTATGAAGTAAAAGAAAAAGAAAAGAAAATATAACTGTTTAGTTGAATTATTGGCTTTGTCAGTATTTTTCATGATTAGTT